ACATTAAAGCTTTACTGCTTGGAACATTTTGGTATGTTTCTGTCCGTTAAAAACCTTTTTTTTTAATAGTTTTTTTTTTTTTTAAGTTATTTACTTTGAGAGAGAGAATGAGAGAGAGAGAGAGGGAGAGAGAGAATCCCAAGCAGGTTCTACACTGTCAGTGCAGAGGCCAGTGTGGGGCTCGATGCCACAAACCGTGAGATCATGACCTGGACTGAAATCGAGAGTCAGATGCTCAACTGACTGAGCCACCCAGGCACCCCTGCAGGTTTTTTAAACTTGTTTCTTACACAGTGTGACCGTTAGAAGTAAATTTGTGTCCTGCTCGTTTTCACTTAATACCGCGACGTAAACGTTTTCAGGACCACCGGTAGAGACTTCATAAGATTACTTTTACTGACAGGAATATTCATTCCACTCCCTGTGTCATGCTTTCTTCCTCTGTAAACAGTGGTACGGATTAAATCAAACCACAGTAAACAGCGATGAGCAGAACTTTTCCTGTGGTGCTTTCCCTAGGATAGATCTCTCCTCGGGCATGGACTTGTTAGGCTGTGGGTTAGTCATTGGAAAGATTTCAATATGTGACTGACTTGCTTTCCCAAGAGGCGATCAGGGTGTCTGCCTCCTCTCCACCCCGCTGGTGCTGCCCGTCTCGTGTCTGACAAGAATTGAGCTGTTTTTCTGAACGTTTTTACTAATTGCATTTTCTCTCCTGAAAATGTTCTAGTTTACTTCTTACCTACTGGCGTCTCAATGTTTCACTCAGCAAGTTATGTGTTTCCTATAGTGAAGATTTCTTAACCCTTTGTTCTCCTTCTCTCAGACATCTTTCCAGCCGGTTTCCCTTTAATTTTGTTGATAGAAGGTTTCCCCCTTGGCCTTTTTTTTTCTTTCTAATTCCCATTATTCTTTTACTACTGAAAGATTTTATAAGCACAGCAAAACCTCACGATCGCATGTCCCGCCTGAGTAGAGAGGCAGGCGGACTTGCGGGGGCCCATCTGGCGGCCCAGTGTTCGCCTTAGCGTGCGGGGTGTGCGTGGGCGGGTGCGGCTGCTGGGCCAGACGGCTTCGCCCAGGGAAGCGACGGGACAGAGCGCTGGTCCTCCAGCTGCGGTATCTCCCTGGCCTAGTTAACCCACTGCCACGGGGGTCTGGAAATCCCAGCCGGAATCGAGGGTCAGCCCATGGACACTCGAGCCAGAGGGGACACCTGCCGCCAGGGGGCGCCCAACCGTGGCGGGGACCAGAAGGAAACCCCTTGCCTTGTGCGGTTCACGCTCTGGGATCTCTCTTGTTGAGATAAGGCTGGTTTCACTGCACCACGAAGAGCTGACCTTTACCTGGTGCTGATGCTGTTCCTGGCACTGTGTGTGGAGTTCACACGGGAGGAGTTCAGGAACTTGGCCCGTCACAAAGCCGCTAGGGAGGAACTGACAGGAGATTTTCGGGTCGGCCTGTCCCCCGAAGGGGTGGGTGGATGACCCCAGCGCTGTTTTACTCTGTGTACCACAGACCCTTCCAGAGGTCTGATGAAGGCTTGGGTCCTCGCCTCAGAAAGTACACGGAACTTCGCAGACAAGCGCACGGGTGTCTAAGGACTTTTTGAAGCCTGGCCGTGACCCTGTGTCTGGACTGATTTCTGGGGACCCTTTCTGCACCTGGCTCTCTGGGAGGGGGGGCCTGGGTTAGTCTGGGGAGCCTGGAAGTCATATGGCAGCCGCAGGGCAGGGGTACCGCCTTGACCTGGGCTTCTCTCCTAGGATGGCCATCGTCCCCATCGTCATCAGCCTGACCCTGACCACGCTGCTGGGGAACGCCATCGCCTTCGCCACTGGGGTGCTGTACGGACTCTCGGCTCTGGGCAAAAAGTGCGTTTGCCTCTCCCAGCCCCTGGGAGGGATCTTCACATCCTACCTCCTGTAGTCTTCTCAGTGCGGAGGGTCCAGGAGGGGCCCCTGGTGTCCGCTGGTGGGAACGGGCACGGCAGTTGTCAGTGACTCTCATCAGTGTCCCCAGGGTGTTTGCCGCTCACGGGAATGAGAGCAGGAGGGTTGGTGGACTTCCTGGTGGCCTGGCTGTGCCCCGCCACAGCCGACAGTGGGGATGGCAGGTCTGTGGTTCGGCAGGGCCTCTTCCCGTCCAGCGCCCACGCCTGGCGTCCCAGTCAGTTGCCGCCCTCTGCTTCAGAGCCCGGGCTGCAACTCTGAATCCAAGATCCCGGGCAGCCTGTGCCTCTCTTAGAGGCGGCTATCCTAGCAGCAGGGTCTCTGGGGATACCTGCTGTCCCTGCAGCTGAAGCCTCGGTCACAGGCCAGGAATCTGCTGGTGGGTGGGAGGACTGGGCGTCCTGTGACACTGACTCGCTGTCTCCCCAGGGGCGACGCGATCTCCTATGCCAGGATCCAGCAGCAGAAGCAGCAGGCTGATGAGGAGAAGCTCACGGACACCCTGGAGGGAGAGCTGTGAGGCAGGTCAGGTGACCCGCTCCTTCCTGCTCGCCCCTCGGACTCTGTGTGAGCACGGCCTGCAGGGATGAGGCCTGGAGCGTTGACCCTGGAGAACAGCCTGGAAGAGGAGCCTTTGCCTAGCTCCTGTCAGCCCCCTTACACCTGTCCCTACACCTGGAATCCTCTTCTGTCTTCCCTCTCTCCAGATCTGTGTCTCCTGCCCCGGGCCTTGGCCAGCAGCAAGGAGACTGGCGGTGGCAGCAGGCAGGCAGCGTGGGCCTCGGGGTGACCCAGGCCGCAGGACTGGAGGCAGAGCGGAGCCCGCAGTGGGTGCGCACGGGCGGCCCGCCTGGCCCCGCCCCTCGCAGCTGGCCCGGCTCCGCTGGAACCAGGCTGCCGGGTGGGTGTCCGGACTCACACCGCTCGCAGGGCCGCAGGGCCAGGAGGAGCTTCCTGGGGGATGCCGGTCCTGGCGTGAGCTGGGAGGCACGGCAACCTGGGCAGGGGTGGGGTGAGCCTCCTGTGGCTCTCCCTCGGGGCAGGGCAGCGTGCTGCCCCCGGCCTCGTCCCGCTGCCCAGGCCCCTCCCCGCCGCTCTGCTCTCCGTGGGAGCCCACAGCAGTCCCGGGATGCTCCTCGAGTGCCCAGAGCAGCGGCTGGCTGGCTGGCTAGGGAGCGCCCCTTCCCCAGTTCCCGGGAACCTCGGACAGGCCACTCCGGGATGCTTGTCATGGGTCCTCCCCCACGGCCCCCAAGGGCCCGGTGCCAAGGAAGCGCGGAGGGCAGGCTCTCCCCTGCCCCGTGGGGCTGCTCGTCCACCTGTCTGTGTGCCCCTGCCGTGTCGGCCGTGGCCGGAGCCCAGGCAGCGGGGCCGAGCTCCGCCCACCTCCGTATTCCTGCTGGCCTGCCCCCTACTCTGGTCTCTGGGGAGCTGGGCAGGGGCCAGAGCCGCCTCCACCACCACGAGCTGTGCGCACCGGGTGCCTGGCCCGTGTGGGGGCCTGAGGAAGCCGCCCTGGCGGGGATGCGCACTGTCACCCCGGCCTCCCTCCATCCACTGTTCCTGGTGTCCCGTGTGTTTCTCCCTCGGCCCGCTGCCTGCCCCGCCAGCCCGACCGGCGCCCAGCTGCCAGGCGTGTCTGGTGGGGCCTGGCTGAGCCTGGGCGGTGCTGGGAGAAATGGGCTGGTGTGGAAAAGGCTCGGTCTGGGGCCCGGCTCCCACTCGTCCTTCTCCCAGGGCCCCCGGCTGGGCCCTGCTCAGAACCCTGAGCTCGGGCCCAGCCCCCCTTTGTTGAAACCACCCCTAGAGCTGTGTCCAGATCCTTGCTTCCCAGAGGAAGCCCTCCTCCCTGGGGCTCGTTAGCGTTCCTCGCAGGAGCAGCACTCACTGTCCCGGGGGACGCACACAGGGATCCTGGTCTGCGGCAGCCTTCCAGCGAGCCCGACCTGGCCGAGCCCCGGGGGGGGGGGGGGCGTGGGCCCTGCGGCGTGGCCGGCGGGTGGGACACGTGCCTTCAGGGGTCCTCTGGGACCACCTTTCTCAAGCCAGCGCAGGGTTCAAAGGGCTGTGGGCTCCAGGCCTCTCCAGGCGGGCGGGAGTGTGTGTGTGCGTGTGTGTGTGTGTCTGCTCTGTGTGCCGTGGACAAGACCGTCTACCTCCCAGGAGGGGCAAGGGCCCTGCCCGCCCCTCTTGGCTCATTCTTATCTGGGAAGTGGGACGCGGGGTCACTTCTGCCCAGCCCTCCTGCCCCTGCTGCAGGGGCCTCGCTGGCGGGGTTCTCCCTGCTGCAGGAGGGGAAGGGCTGGCTGTGTGTCCCGGAAGGTTGCGCCTCCGTTCTGTCAGCAGGTCTGCTGGGGTGGGGGTGGGGGGGCCCTGGAAGCAGGTGCAGAGGTGGGAGGGCCCTCTGACCCCTCAGTCACAGGCAAGAATGGACATGCTACGTGCCCGAGGTTCCCAGTGAGTGCAGCCGAGCAGTCCCGCAGCCGGGGATCCTGGCCCCCGCCCGTGTGGGCTGCCGCCCGCGGGGAACGTCTGTCTGTCTGGGTGGCAGAAGGGGCTGGGCTGCCAGGGCCCACTCCTGCCTCAGTGGGTCTGGACTCTGCCTTCTTGGGGTCCTCGCTCACGCTCCGTGTTTAACTTGTCTGAGCAATAAAGCCTGGCCGTGGTCTGAATGCTCGCTCGCGCACTCTGCCTGCTCCTTTCTCCCTCTGATACCGTAAGTACGGGGGCCAGGATCGCTGGTCCTGGGAGGAACTGCCATTTTATCGAGGACCTTCTGTGCTGCTGGCCCCGTCCCAGGTCTGCTGGCAGCATCTCAGACAGGCAAGCGGCTTGTCGAGGCCCCACAGCCGGGAAGGGCCGGAGCCTGTCGGATGGGGCCGTCGTGTGACCAGGCTCTCCCTCCCAGGCTGCCTTGCCCCTTCTCTCTGCCTCCCTGTGACCCCACAAAGCGGGCCTTGCCTGGGGCATCAGGCCATGGTAGCCTTGGCTGAGAGTTTGGGTCCGGCCGAGCCTGGCTGCTGCGTGGGCTCCCCCACCTACGACAGACCACCAGGGCCGAGAGCCTGATTTACTTTTACAAACGGGGTGAACATGGTTTACAGACAGGGGCACTTAAGAGCCCTGTTCCCAGAGATCGGGTGGGTGTAGGAGGAAGGTCTGTATTGGGCTTTGTGCCCTGGCCTGGGAGTCCAGAATGTTCTCTGTGGCATGCACAGCTTTCAGAAGTGCAGATCTGTCTTCCTCCCTGTGGCTAGGATGCTCCATGGCGACTGAGTGATCAGAACAAAGTGGCACGACGACGTCCTTGTGTGGAGCCGTCCACTGCCTCTTGCCCTGCCTGGCTCTGTCCTCATTGCAGTCCTGTGTGGGGCATCCTCTGAGCCTGAGTAAGGGCCAAGGCCCTGGGGTCACCCGGCAGGGCCTTGTCCTGGACCTTGGGCTGTGTACTCCCCTGCTCAGCCCCGGCTTCATCCTGGACCCCGGGCCATGTACTCCCCTGTGGCCCATGGCTGTCTCCTCTGCCAGCAGGTCTTGGCCGACGAGCGTGTGGCATGGCTGAGCTGGGGCCCAGCCTGCCCAGGGCCAGAAGCGCACTCGGGGGGGGGGCCTGTCATGCTTCTGTCTGGTCCTGGGCTCCGTCTGATGGCATGTTGCTGTCGCCCCCTGGGCTTGGGGTTCAGGCTTGTGGCCAGCACAGAGGCCCGGCGTCCGGTGCTTGGCCCCTCCCAGGTGGGGACCCTGACCTAGTGCAGGAAGGACCTCCTCCCAGTGCGGAAGAAGGACTCGATCTGCTCCAGCGACCGGCCCTTGGTCTCAGGCACGCAGCAGCCGGTGAACAGCAGGTTGACCAAGCAGATGGCAGCAAAGAAGAAGAAAGGCACCTGGAGGCCAAAGGCATTCTGGGGACATGGAGGGAATGCCTGGTCACACGGGGGCTCCCAGCACGCTCCTGCTTATCCCAGCGGGCCTCTCTGGGCTCCACAGCCTCCCGCAGGAACTGCAAATGCTTTAGCCATTCCCCCCCAGTCCCGTCCCCCAGGCCCTCAGGTCTGGGGCGGCCTCCCCGTGGTGCCGGGCCCCGAGGACTTCCTCCACTCGAGGGCAGCAGCCTGCCCAGGCCTGGACCTGGGGCCTGGACCTCTGGTCTCAGCCTTGACTCAGACCCCCCCCCCCCCCCCTCTCTCCCTCGCTGCCTGGTGCTGCCACCACAGCCTGGCTGGGCGCGCACTCCACACGCCCTCCTGCCTTGCCCCAAGCTCGTCTGTGCCTCTCTGCTGGGGCTGTGCTCGCTCTGGGTTCCCCTGACCCTGCCCTGACCCACTGGCTCCACCAGGGTAGGCACCGGCCAAGCTGCCCGGGGAGGGGTTTGAACCGTGTGTGTGTGTGTGTGTGTGTGTGTGTGTGTGTGTGTGGCATGGGGGAAGCGGGCACAGAGCTGGATGTGGGCTGACCAGCAGAGATCCATGCTGAGAGACCCAAACTGCCATGTGGACAAGTGCGGCCTTCTGGGCTTGGTCCCGCCCCGGCCCGGGAGGACCTGTGTGGCACTTAGAGGCCGTGCCGTTGAAGCCCTGAGCTCAGCCCCCGGCACTCACCACCACCAGCAGGAAGGACTTGGTGAGGGCGAAGGCGGTGAGCCAGCTGACCAGCACGCAGAGCCCCGAGGCCACCCCGCGGGCTTGCAGGGGCAGGATTTCAGACATTAGGAGCCAGGTGATGGGCCCCCAGCCCATGGCGTAGCCTGCCGACACAGGGAACGTGGGGCCTCTTCTGCCTCCACTGAGCTGCCGAGACCCCTCCCCAACCACCCTGACAGACCAGGACAGCGGTGCCCTGCCAGTGCCCTGGCACGTCCCCCACACCTAAGCCCCAGACAGCCCCTCTCTGGCTGGCCTTCGGCCCTCCCGGCCCCCGCCCCCCGCCCATCCTGGTGGGGTCACTGCCACACCTACCCATGATGAAGAGCATGGTGGCCACCAGGGGCACCAGGGTAAGGTAGCTGGTGGGTGCGGCCAGGGGCTGCTCCGTGCCCCCCAAGGGCGCACTCTCGAGCTCCACGGTGCTGTTGGGAGTCGGAGGCTTTGGACCGAGGTGGACATACAGCCCCAGCGTCAGGTTGGCAGCAAACATGATGGTGGCTGTGGACAGACCGGTGGCCCTCGGAGGGGCCGGGACCGTCTGAGCCCGGTGCTTCCTCAGCACCCTGCACCCCGTGCGGCCCATTTCTCATCCAGGCCGCCGTCGTGGCCCGTCTGCGACCGGACACTTCCTGCAGAGCTCTGACCCTGCCCGCGTGTGAGCTGCTGTCACATCCACCGTGTGGCTCACGACTGGCTCGTTTGCTCACCCAAGCCCCAGCAGGTCTTTCTGGAGCAGCTCGTGGCCGCCAGGCCCTGTGCTGGGCGCTGGTGGGGGCAGGGCCAGCAGGGCAGGTCTGACCCAGCCATCCCCCCCCCCCCTCGCCCCGGGGCTCCCAGTCACGTGGGCCGGCACACAATCGGCCCCTGCGGGAGGAGTGGGCCAGTGCAGGGGCCAGGCCGGTGCTCACCTGAGACAAAGAGCAGGACCTTGCGGCCAGCCAGGTCCATGGTGAGGGCAGCAATCAGCACGGAGAAGAGCCTCACGGCCCCCACAATGGCTGCATCATCCTTCGGGGGCTGCAGGGAGGGAGCCACGGGGGGCTGAGGGACCCTGGCCTGCTGCTCCTGTCCCACCTGTCCCGCACACGGCGCTGCAGGGCGCTCAGACGCCAAGCCGTGGCCACAGCTCCTTCGGCGCGTACCATGTGCGAGGCACTTCCTCTGCTCACCCAGCCGGGCCCCCTCAGCCAGGGCGCACGCAACTGCCGCCCCCGCCCCCGAGCCCAAGGCCAGCAGAGAGTCCGGGCATCACGGTGACTCGTGGGACTGCACTGTCACTAATCTCTAAATCTCATCTCCCTTTGAGCCCAGGACGGGCCGACGGAGGCCCCCCTCTCTGCTATCTCCGTTCTACAGAGGCGGAAGCTGAGGTCTGCAGGGGCGTGGCAGATGCTCTGAACCTGGGGGTCCACGGCGCCCCTCCCCCCCAGGGCTCTCTGTGCGTTTCTATACAGCGGGTTCCTCTGCAATCCCGTCGGGCTTAAGACACGTGAGGTTACTCGCAAACGTTCTTCTGAGAACAGGTGCAGGGCACAAGGGCGGAGAGACCCCGGCGGGCTCCACACGGCGCATGCGCCCCCGACCCGAGGTGCGGAGCAGGTGCTCAGTAAGGGACGGCCCCCGCGGACACGGTGGGGGGGGGGGGCAGAGCTGGGGCGGTGTGGGGCCCGGGTCTCACCAGCAGGACGGCGGTGCTTTCGAAGATGGGCTGCAGGTAGACGAGGATGGGCGTGATGCCGGTCAGCTGCTGCAGGAAGCGCATCAGCAGGGCGATGACGATGGGCCGGTACACGTGGGGGCTCCGGGCCTCGGCCCACGACACGCGGGTGCTCTGCGAACGTGAAGCTGCTCCTGAGGCGGCTGCGCCCGCCCCTCCGGCAGCCCCCACCCTGCCCTGGACTCCCTTCTCCCTTCCTCCAGGAAAAGACCCTGGGCACTGAGGCGGTCCGGCCACAGACCCCCGCCCGCCCCAGGCTCTTGGGGGAGCGGGTGGGACAAGGCAGATGTTTGCTGGTCAGGATCTCTGGGTGCCCAGGCATCGGCAGCGCGGAGCACGTGCTCTGGGTCGCGGCAACGCCTCCCCCTTCCCCTCGTTCTCGGAGGTGGGATCCGCCGTCTCCCGCCCCACCCCCCACCCCCCCGGGACGAGCCGCCAAGTCTCGGGCCCAGTGGCCGGCTGCACCACCCAGGGCCTCGCACCCACCCTCCCGCACCTGTCTCTGGACGTTGTCCTGGATCTGCGAGAACTCCCAGCGGATGTCGGTGTCGGCCCCGCGCAGCCAGGCCAGCGCCCGCAGCGCCTCCGCGTCCCTGCCCCGCGACAGCAGGAAGCGGGGGGAGTTGGGCATGAAGCTGAGCAACAGGGTCATGACGAGCACAGGCCCTTCCCCGGCCACAGCCAGCCAGCGCCACGGCAGCAGGAGGCCTGGAGGTGACAACGGGGTGAGCGGCCGGCGTCCAGGCTGCACGTCCAGTCCCCTCCTATCGATGCCTCTGAGCGACCTGCTCTGTCCTCAAGCGCTAGTCCCAGGGCCGTCTCCTACAGGAAGCCTACCCTGCTTGCCTCAGGCCTCCGCGGTCTAAACCAGGAGGGGCTACAGGGATGGCTTGGCCTGAAGGAGGTTCTCGGAGTGTCTCAAGGGCCACGGCAGGGGGACGGCGGGGTAGACGGAGCAGGCAAGGCCCCGGGCTACTATCTCCAAACCCCCACCCCACCTCAACCGGATGTACCCTGCTCTCTTTTCCGCATGGGCTTCCCATGTGACCAGAGAGAGGCAGAGCGTTGCCTAGAGGTACACAGCACAGTGCTGGCTGAGCAAGTATCTTGTCCCCCAGCTCGGGGTTTGCTCTGGGGCACATTCGCCGCCTTTCCACCCACGGCTGCTCAGCAGCGGCACCCTGTTACCCGCCCGCCTGCACACAGGAGGTGCTCAGTGCTCATCTGGACGATACTTGCCAAGGGCGTAGAGGGACAGTGACCCGAATACTGCCATGAGCTGGGGCGTGGCCCCCAGGGCCCCACGAACACCCGGGGGAGCAATCTCAGACACGTACACCTGCAAGACACATCAGCCCGCACGGCCTCTGGTGAGAGTTTAGGGTCCGGGGCCCGGCCCGAGACGGGAGAGGTGGCCCTGTGAACCTCGGGAGGTGAGAAGCGGGGGCTTCAGGTGGGGTTCTTATCCTGGCCGGGACTCAGTCCATTTCCCCGTCAAGTGGGCAGAGGCACTTGGCTCTGAAAATGGGTGGCCTGAGATTGGGAAATGGAGCAGACTCTGGTCCCACCCCCGCCCCCGGGCTCCTCTGCCCCCTTCTGGGCTTGCCCTGGGCCCGACATGGCGCGTGGGGAGCTGTGGGAGGAGTCCGAGGGATGGCTCGGGGCAGACACTTCCCCTTTCCCCCTTGCTTTGTGCAGATTTTCTCCAATTGAGCAATGTGCCTGATTGTCAGGAAATGGGGTAGGAACTATGGGGAGTCCAGAGTGAGGTCAGCTGGGGCCAGATTTCCCTGAAATGGGTTGCCCTGGTGGAGGTAAACTGAGGCTCCCTGGCAAACATAACCCCCACTGACCAGATGGCTCGAGGGTCAGGAGGCTTTAGCTACACGGGGGCCAACTCGGTGCCGAGGCAGCGAGTGGCGGTCCTGGCCTTACCGGGATGCAGGCAGCTGTGAGCCCCCCGGCGAAGCCTGTCATTGTCCTCCCCAGCAGCAGCATCCAGAAGCCGTGGGCGCCTGCCATGAGTGCGTAGCCAGCTGCCGAGGGTACGGCTGAGAACATGATGCTGAGCTTCCGGCCCAGGAGGTCATTGAGGACCATGGCACTGAGGCCCCCAGCCGCCGCGCCCAAGGTGAAAACGGACTGCAGGAAGGGAGTGCACTGCAGACATGTGTGGGCACCCCGCACTCCCGCCCCACCCCCCATCAGAGCCTAGAGGCAGCTGCTTTTCCAGGCTGACCGTGGGATCCTGGGGTGCAGGACTCAGGCCCTGAATGGTAGTGAGCCTCCCATCTCCAGGCGTGTACAAGCAGCATGTGCATAGCCATTTCTTCAGAGGTGCCACCGTAGGGAGGCCTGCTCCGCAGAGGATGTGGGGCCGTGTGTCCATGGTGGTTCTGCTCAGCTGAACGCTTAAAAGTCTGATACTAGAGTATAGCAGACGGGAGTATTCTATAACCTAAAGCCCCTGACATTATTAGACTTGGGGATTCTCGGATTCCCTGTGGAGTGGAGTGAGTACGATCCGGTCAGTGACTTGGGCACATTGCTTGGTCTATCTGAGCCTCGGTTTCGTTAGCTGTTTTATGGGGGGGGGGGGCCGGGGGGGCAGGAGTACCCACTCTTAGGGTTGGCCCCGGGAGTTAACCAGCTCTCACGTAAAGTATCCAGCACATCCCTGGCGCATACTAAGTGCTCGGCACACAATGGGTATTATCTTAGCTACTACGTTGTCATTGTACATTTGAGGCTGCTAAGATTGTAATTCTGGAATTCTGGGACTCTTGGGGCCTCTGCTCTTCCCTTCCACTCACCCACACTCTGTCCTGGGACCCCCCTCGCCCCAGCTGGCACCTCTTTCCATCGGCATCTGATGCCCTGTCCCCCATCATCCAGAGAGGCGTCTGCTCTGCTGTGACAGCCCGGCTATGGGTGGCGGGGGCAGTCTGGGGAGCCCTCAACCCCCCCAGGGGTGAGACCTGGAGGGGCACCTCCCCACTTGTTCCTTCCCACACCTTCTCCTTCAGCTCTCACTTCCTCCTTCTATTTCAGAGCCATCATCTGGCCTCACTCACCCACTGCCCCTCCTGCGGCCCAGCGTGATTGGGGTGGATGGGGGAGGGGGAAGACCAGGGCCCTAGAGGGGGCCCCACGCCTGAGATTTTGGGCGTCCCTGGCTTCGTGGGTCCCTGCTCACTCTGCCCTGCCCATCTCCAGCTCAGAGCATGGCTCTTACCCCAAACCAGGATGCCTGGGTTTTGGTCAGCCTCAGGTCTGGGTCCAAGGACAGCTCCAGAGCAGGGATGACAGGGGACGTGTAGACCAGGGCGTACCCAAAGCTGAAATTGCCCAGCACGGCAGCAAAGGTAGCCAGGAACACCCTCTTGTTCTGTGGGGCCCTGGTGGGGGGGGGGGGTGGGCAGAACGATGAGGTCTTTGAGTTCCTCCTCCCCCAACTGCTGAACAATGGCTGCCCGCTCAGGCTGTGAGGGCAGCGCTTGGCGAGGGCTGGCTCCAGGGCCAGACTGCCAGCTCCCGGAGCCCGAGTGTCATCTCGCTTGGAGAATTCCCCAGGACGGTCCCCAAAGCCCATCCCCGTGGCTGAGGGAGGCACGGGTGAAGGAGCACTCTTCTCTAGAAGAGGAGGCTTGGTTTCTGCCGCCTGAAGCTTGCCGTGTGACCTTAGGCAAGCCCCTCGCCCTCTCTGGCTTTCACTCACCCTATCTGAGGCAGTTGGGGGCTGGGCCCGGTACAGGGGGTGGGGGTGGGGAGTGGGGGCAGCTCCTCAAATAAAACGAGGGTGTCTGGGGGCAGGAGGGGACCGGATGGACCCTTGGTGGACACTCATGGAAGGTCAGAGAAGGCCCAAGGCGGAAGCCAGCCCCTGCCCGCAGCCCCCATGCCCAGCGACTCTCACCCGACTCGCGTCCTCTCCCCCGGCGACGGGGACGACTTCTCAGGGAAGGTGTCATAGTCCGGGCCCTCGGCCCCCAGCAGCGGCTCCTGCATGGCCGGCCCCTCCTGGCAGTGTCCGTGCCGCCGCCGCCGCCGCCGCCGCCGCCGCCGCCGAGTGGCCGGGTGCTGGGGGACAGCTCCGGCCGGGAGGCGCGTCGGGCCGC